ACTCCAACACAACATAGAACTTCTCTCATTAAATACACATGAATAGAGATATTTCAGACTTAACAAAAGTGTCATATAATATTTATATTTGTACCTCAAAACTTGTTCACAAAAGCTTAACCTTTTCAGTATGACTTAACATTCAATAGCTTGTAGCACAGTTTTGAATTTACCGCGGTAACTGGAAAATAACATATAAAAAAAATTTCGGTTGTGTTCACGAAAAAATTGTTACATTTAGTAAAAATGATTCTTGACATTAGTATCATTATTAACCTGTTCAATTTCTTTTGAACTGTAACTTTAGCGATATGAAATGTATTTCTGGATAGAGAGAAAGATTTGGTATAATTCATATACGTGATATATGTGTATGCATTTGTCCCTTTTATACTTATTAGAAGCATACACTGAAAACACGTTAATATTTCTCAGTGACTTTACACGGTAAAAATGAAAAGGGGGGGATTTAGGGCGCCATCTCTTAGAATATTATAGAATTAAACAAAATACAATCAACTGTCGTTTTCTTGAAAATATAGGCTGAGCGCGGCAATTTGTGTCTTTTGGGTTTATAATCCGCGTCCTGCTATGACAAAAACACCAAAAAACAATAGAAAAAATCGCGCTGTGCATTTTGGAGTGATGAGTGCGTTATAAAGGTGACAATCAAATACTACTATTTACTCAGGCTTAAGACTTGGCAGTGGGTGGTGCTCACTTGCTTCCCTTCCTCTGGTCTATCATTTCAAAATTAAAGATGGCTAGCGCAGTTAGCCCTTTGTAACTTTTTGCGCTAATATCTGAAAACAAATAAACATTATGTATGTTATTTCAAGTATTTAACAACGAACATTCTTTGTAAGTACTTAGGCTAAGCAAAATGCTTAAATCCAACTTGTTTCTTCTTTCAACCAAAGTTCAAATAGCTATCTAAGTAGTCTGCAGCATGCAAAAATCTCCATACCTTTTTGTCTAAAGGTACACAGGCAGTTATACTGAGGTACAACATTGGTAAAGACAAGTAGAGTTACTAAGTTGAGAACATACTATAAGTTACATGTATGACAATTTCTAATTGGAAATTGATCTCAAATACTTGTAAGTGTTTAACGATGATAAACTTGTAAGAATCCTATAGTATCTGTCTTTGTAAATAGCTTTAAAATGTTACCTTCTTTAAATTATAACCATAACACGTAGACATATGACTGCACGTGTGTGCCCAAAATAATATGAAACATTTGTAAAGTTATTTTAATATTTTATCAATATGATATTCAAATCCAGAAATACAGAGCTTAGTGTCGTTTTACAGAATGAGATACTCACAGTGAAGTAAGGATTATAAGAAAAAATATTTATTCCTCCTTTAACAAAGCATGTGTTGTTAATAGTTCAGCTAGAACTATTTGTCTTGTCCCCCAGTGGCACAGTGGTATATCTGCGCACTTATACTGCTAGAAACCGGATTTCGATACCCATGATGAGCAGAGCCCAAATAACCCTTTGTATAGCTTTGTGTTTAGTAACAACAATAACAGTTTATCTTCAAGAATTTCACTTTCAAACTGCTGTCGATTGTAGAGGGTCGAATAAATGCAATACCGTAAAAGAAATCGTAAAATAACTTAATAATATTAAGACCACTTGACAAAAACCACATCCAAAGAAAATATTAGTATAAAATCTTCATTGAACTACACCAAAAAATTAAAAGGGGGGAATATTTATTGCGTTTGAGAATATTACACTTGAATGCATTACCAAAAAATCAATATATCGTTCGTTATATGTATGTGAGAGTGCAACGACCATTTTGGCGCATGTGCTATCCGTCCTGGAAGAACAGTATTAATATGACGACATTTTGTAGAATGGATGGCAACTGCCTGTTGTAGAGACACAAGTGTACAGGGCGACGTTTCGAAAGTCTTCCGCATTTCGTCTTCCACCATTACCGTATAATTATTCGAATGCTGAAAACCGGATAAAGTCGTACACACCTTCTGCGAATCTGAAGGAACATACTTTGTCAAGACAAAACGAGATCTCTTACTGCCATGATAATGGTGATTTTTTTTATTAAGAAATCACAGAGGTCAAGGATTGGCTGGCAGATTGTCTTCGTATAACACATCTAAAACCACCTTGAACGCGTGTAAATCAATATCTTAGCCCATCTCCCGACATTGCTCTAACAAGAAGAATGGGCAAAACATTTCATAAAGTCATTCGACGGCTGACCAAAAAATTCCTTACAAAATACACTTTCTGCCAAGTGTGAACCATTTAGTTTGCTTGTTTGTAGTTACGCGCAAAGCTACACAATGGGCTATCTGTGCTCTGCCCACCACGGGTATCGAAACCCGGTTTCTAGCGTTGTAAGTCCGCAGACATACCACTGTGCACTTTTAGACAATTTGGTTTAGTCAAGACTTAACTCAGACCACTATAAATTTAAGGGAACTCATGTTTCGAAATGTTGTAACTGGTAATATACGGTCATTTGTTGAGAAAAACAAACAACTATTTAAATATAATATTTTGTCTCATTATTTTCATAGGAATTCTTTGTTTGTAAGCTATATAAAGTAAAGATTACAGTACAATTCAGTAGACTATTCAACTAATTGAAAGTACAAATGTAATCAAAGCAGATGGCAACTTGATACATTTACTGATGAAATAATGACCGTTCGTTCTGTTTTTGTTTTTCTGTGAATATACAGTAATTAACTGTTGATAAATACTCTTAAAATGCAGTAATTAAATACAATTTCTAGGGTGTGTTTTGTAGAATGCCCTAAGAAAATGAAAAAAAAAATCCTCCCAATGACGGAAAAAAAAAACTAGAAAGAAATTAATGTAACTGTATAACAACATCGTTCAAGTGGAAACCAATAGGCCTAATATTCATAACAAAAATATCACTGGGTTGCTTGTTCTTTTTACATTAGTTTTTATATTCATGTTAATTTGATTATTACCTATTTCAAATAAGAGGTGTGAGAAACATATTCGAGATCTATCTTTTATTTGCCACAAATCACCCACTATCCAAAACCTTTTGGTTTAATACCAGAACCAATTAACTAAGTTGGATGATGACGGATAAACTTAAAAGCGTGATATCTATCACGAATATTAGGCTTATCGAGCTTCGCTAATTTCTGGCATTTAAAAATGTAACATTGTTATGTTAATGTATTTTAGTTTATATTTGTTCAATGTATTAACATTACAATTAAACTTCTACATAAACAAAGTATTAAATTATGATCATAATAGACTTTAGATGCATCTAACTCACCTCGTGGAAGAGACAGTTAAAACTTCATCTCGACAGCAACCTTAATTTTATCTACTAGCTGCTTGGTACAGTTTGTTTCCTTTGAAATTTGTGTTTGTGGTTTTTAATTTTACTTATCTCTATAAAATCGATTTCAAAGTATTTTTGTCATTTGATCTAAATGTTCAATGTCAGTAACTAAGTAGAATAGAAAGAAAATTGTCAGTTTCTTTGAGATACACTATTGGAATACTCTATGAATATATTTCTACATCTGTGAAGAAATTAAAAACATTCTAGTCATTGCAAAGTGATGTCTTCTGAATGTCCAGTCGGCGATAAACTGTTAAAGGGTACACTATGTTATCTAAGAAAAACAACTTTAAACACCCAAAATCATTTAGGATTCCACAGCATCTTTTTAGCGACAAATCCTCTGAAGGGTGAGTTATAAACCATTAATGAAAATATTGATATATCGAACAACCAGGAAATAAACGATTGTCATCGTTCGTTATCCTATAATAAGTGTGATCATACCCTTCTTTAGTGGTTGAATAGGAGCTGTCAGAAACAACGAAATATAGTAACATTTTTACTGTATCTTATTATGTTGGTCGTTATTGCCAACGAAACTTTTCGCTCAAAATCAGGACCTGTTAGGTTGGTTGGATTGCGATAAAGGATTAACTGAAACGTTACTTAAATGAAACATCAAGTAATCTGGCGTATAATGCCTATACTGGCAAAACATAATCCATTATTTTGTAATAAATGCGATATTTCATCAGAGCAAAGGCCCGGCACGACTTAGTGAGGGGGCTCGACTCACGATCTTTCGGTCACGGGATCGAAACCTGTCCATGAACATGCTCGCCCTTTTAGCCACAGGTTTGTTAAAATGTGACGGCTTGTTTGCTTGTTGGATTTCGGGAAAAGCTGCTCGATGACTATCTGCTCTAGCCTTTCTTAATTCAGAAGTGATAGGCTAGAGGGAAGGCTGTTAGTCAACATCACCCATAGCAAACTCTTGGGCTACTCTCTTTACCAACTAACAGTGGGATTGACCGTCCTATTATAGCGCTCTCACGGCTGAAAGAGCGAGCATGTTAGGTAACTGGAATCGAACCCGCGACCCGCAGATTGCGAGTCGAGCGCCCTAACCACCAGAACATGTCAGGTAAAGAGTAGTCAAAGAGTTGGCGGTGGGTAGTGTTAACGAGCTGCCTTCCATGTACTCTATCACTTTAAAATTAGGACTGCTAGAGGATAATCTTAAAGAAGCTTTGCGCGAAATTGAACATGACTGTTAATAATTTCAATCATATCCTTTAGTTTGATATGACTACCAGAAAGAAAACAAAATATACGACTCCCAGTACCACAGCAGTATGTCTGCGGACTTAATAACGCTAGAATCCGGGTTTCGATACCCGTGGTGGGCAGAGCACAGTTAACCCATTGTGTAGCTTTGTGCTTAACTTCAAACAAACAAACAAACAAAATGTACCTTAGCATTTGAGGGATTACCTCCCTCATGAGAATAATCCCTAAAGAAAATATATTTCGGTCAAAATAGTAAGAACAGAAGGATTGTTTTAGAATAAGTATCCCTGATTATTTAGTATTTCACTCGTTATTTACAATAATGACAGTAATATGATAGCCATAATTATTTTTTTGACACAACATACTAATTCTTTTACAGGTAAGCTCCTAAGAAGAATGACCACGCGACAACTGCTGAACTTTGCGTTCTGGACAGTTATTCTTCTGTTATGTCTTTACTGTGTGGGGAAGATGGAGTCGGCGGCCATTGATGCTGGTGATAACATTTATATATATATACTCTGAGATGTTGAATATTTTAAACACACTTATTGTGAAACCATGTATGAGTCACTTAAATCGTAAACATAATAATAAATATTAAATAAGTTTATAAAACGTTGTTTAATGCTTTATAATTTACCTATGTTTGTGATATTTGTTTAAAGCTATTATTAAGCAAAATGCATAAATAAAATTAGCTATTTCAATAAATATGTGATTTATTAGATTTAATTATTCCTCTAAATATACAATTAAAATTCTAATTTGATCTTCAACGATACTTTACTTTGGAATTGAAATATAATGGATATTCCAAGTAAGTTTTAAATGTAATATAAAGAGAAGAGAAGATGATATTAATACAGAAGGATGAGTACATTGGAACAATGCAAATTAGCAAATCATGTGAAAACCACGGCGGCTACATTATTTGGCGTTTCGTAGTTAGTGTGATGCCAACGAAAACTGATCGCTTTTTGGAAGGGTACGAAGCAGCCGTTTCCGAAACAAAATATTTATACACTCAGATCATAAAAAATGTGTTCAGATCTGGGATTTTAATGGCGTTGAAAAACAAAGGAATAAGGATGGATTTTGGGCACCAGGATCACCCAGAAAGAGATTTGCAACAAGTTGTATTATAGCCTTGGTAAGTAAAGTGTAGCGTGTTATAATAGGTGAGAATTCAGGAACATAAAGGTCAGTGACAAGACATATCAGTCAAGTTACAGGACGCAGTGTCTATGGATTTTTGTGTGACACTGGGAAACAGTCATTCTCGTATACTAGATGGATTATAAAATATGCATGGTAGAGTATTGTGCTTTGATGGTGATAGCCTTATGGCGGAGCCTTTTGTAATGGAAACTATGCTGCAGAATTATTGTCAAAAAGCACGGTCGTCAGAAAGAGTGTAACCGGACGTGGTGACATGGACTGAAGCTACGTGGTAAGACTCCAAAACCATTTTGTTATAATGTACGCAACCGCTTTATTAGCTAAGTATTATTTTAATAAATGAAAGAAACTACAGACACTAACCTTACTTCATGTAATAAGTAAATAAGTTTGAGAAGGACTACAGATGCTTACGTTAACGTATATTTTCTCACTCATAAATTCAAAGAAAAAAATGTACATTTTATTGTATGCATAAACATTTTGCGACGAAGAAGGACGTTGTCACTTACCTTGTCTATGTTATGTTTTAGTCTCGTTTAAACACATTCATTACGAGAAATATAAAATACTGTTGGAGAAACAAGTGTACGAAAAATTCAGCTATTTATCGTACCTGATGCAATTTCCTTGAAGGCTATAACTGCAGTAACGTGATTTTTTAAAAGTTTTTATGAGTAGTAATTATCGAATTAACACTTTAGCCTAGTTGGTAAAGCATTAGGCAGTCGTAGGAATTGTCCCTGATTCATAGCCCTTTCGTAGGAGACTTGAAAAATAAAATATTTAAAGATCTATGATACTCACGTTATCCAACGTTACATTATAATAAATTTCATTAAGTAAAAATAGTTACCTATCTTATGTTTGGTGAAGAAGAATGAAGATACAGTGTTTTAGTTTAGTTAGTTAGTGTAACAACATGAGTGCTAATATTACTAGGGTTTCTTGAATGTATAATTATTTACAACACAAACACATAAAAGATAAGCGATGCTCTTGTAAATGGTGTAACTTAACATCACGCAGTACACTACCTAGATATACGAAAAAAGTAACAAGTATAGTACTAATTAACATACATAAAAACAAATTCACACGTGCTTTGGTAAATTAGCCAATAAAGTAAGGTATTAATTGGCGCTATCTAATATGATAAAAAGTTCAGATAAAAAACCCAGGTAAAATGCAAAGATGTTACATTTACTAGAAGCAATGTAAGAATACAGGTGTCTCGTTGTGAGTGGTTCTTTCGTTAGTTAACTGAAGAGAATGGTTATCTGTTTCAGAAAAGAAAAAATGATGTAGAGGTTAATCTATTCTTTGATTCGCTAATACTGCTGCAACAGACTAGAATTCAGTGTCGCTTGGAGAAGCGAAGCAGATAACTAAAGTAGGCTTCATATCGTGATGGAATGTTGTTACCTGCTTTATCCTAGGCGGTATTTTAGAAACCTAAGCGACCAAGAGATTAGGAAGGAGAGACTAATGCCTCTATTGGCAAGTGGGAAGAAATGTTAGTTTATTTTATATTTAATAGCAGCTAATGTTAAATTACGTGTTTTTTTATTTGTAGTCTACATATAATTTACACTTATATATTATTATTAATGAATCTTACACACGGTCAGCCATGTTGAATGCTATACTTCTGTTATTTTCCTTACGCTTTCATAGTTGAAGACGTAATGGTAGCACAGATATTTTTCTGTTAAGTTATTCGGTATTTTATATTAGCTATCTGTGTTCTGCCAATCACGGGAATCGAAACCCGATTTGTAGCGTTATAAGCCCTCTGACTTACCGCTCAATCACTGGAGGCAATACTTTGTAAGTTATGTCAGCGCATTAAAATTAGTATTGAGAAACTAAAAATAACACTTTTATGAGGAGGAGAAGCTTAGAATGAATGATATGTGGCAAACCAAACGGGAAATATTAGAAGTAGTGTCCAAAACTACAATCTTAATTAATAGTTGTGCCAGAATTACCAGAAACTGCCCTGTTGTTTTGAAAATAACTTTGTTTACACTTGGAAATTATCCACAAAAACAGAACGAATGAAAACCTAAGCCAAACAGCAACTGTACATTAAAAATGTTGTTTATAGTAACGTAGGAGTGATTTTGTCTTATGATAACTCACGTAAAACACGGCCTTAAATAAGCGCCAATCTTTTTGTAAAATGTTTATTAGATGAAAACCGAGTCAAAACAATGTATTGTAAATTTAAATTAAATAAATAATCTATTTATTCATCAGATATGAAATATAAAAAAATCGAACCAAAATTGGTCTGCTAGAATTTTGTTACATAAGACATTTTTTCACGAACAGCTAACCAACTGATATTCATAAATAAGACAAAAATGGTTGGACTTTGTTTGTATCATGTTTTTAAATGTTTACGAATAAATTTTACAAAAAGAGAATTAAAAACAGTCGAATTATCTAATTAATTTTCTTACCAGTGTGTCCCGGCATGGCCAGGTGGTTAGGGTGCTCGACTCGCAATCTGCGGGTTGCGGGTTCGAATCTCCGTCCCACCAAACATGCTTGCACTTTCAGCGGTGGGGGCGTTATAATGTGACGGTCAATTGCACTATTCGTTTGTAAAAGAGTAGCCCAAGAGTTGGTGGTGAGAGGTGATGGCTAACTGGTGACTAAATTAGGGACAGCTAGTGCAGATGGTCCTGGTGTAGCTTT